GAGAAGAGAAGGGGGACCTTGCCCCCGTCCCATCAGCCAGACTCCGGGGCTTAGCACCCCTGCACCCAGGACTGGGAGCCACATCCCAGGGTAGGGGACAGCCCGACTTTAAAAATCTTTCCCTAATTAAACAGAGCTTCTCTGTGGCTGTACAGATGCAGCTCCAAGCTATTGCTAAGGCATTTAACTGGAGCACCAAAGGCTGCCCCTCAGGCTGCAGCAAGCCCCCAGAGTAGGCGATTAGGTTGTGCAGGGCATGGCCGGGGCAGCACGAGGAGAGAGGATTCGGGCTGGGAGATGGGGCAGCCGGTGTTCCGAGAAGGGTTGGTCCAAACAGGGGCTGGAGCACCGGAGACGGCCCAGTGGTTAGAGAGCCATTGAGAATGCAGGGACACCTGCTAACAAGCAGCAGGTCTCTCTCCTAGCAATCTCCTTTTGCTGCCTGCTTGGGGCTCTGTGCTCCTCCCTTTGCCTTGGGGCTCTGGTGGGAAGCAAGGATCCAGCAGACACTGGCTGAAATGGGGGCAGCACACCAGGGACAGTGAAGTGCAAACAGCAAGCAAGGAAGGACGCCAGAGCAGGACCACAGCTCCCTGGAGAGTGGCCTTGTGTTGAGCCCCCTCCACTACCCAGTCTCCCCCCCCCCAAGAGCAGCCAGGCCAATAAACACACACGAACCAAGGAGCTCCATAGATTTCTTAAATAATTTAATTGAAAAAAGTATTTCTTTAAAAAATATTTCTACAAATGCATGATTGCATCATTTGTTTCTTTTTTTTTTTCTTTTCTTTTCTTCCTTTTTCACCATTAAATACATCTCAATATATAAAAAAGGTGGTAGGTACAGTACAGGAGAACCAGTTGGGAGGTGGGGGTGGGGGACACACCGCCTGGAGAGACCTCCGAGCGTCACCAGGTGCAAACCAAGCTGTGCCGAAACGGGACTGGCCGGGGGCGGGCTGGGATACGAAACTCAGGTTCAGGAATGCTGCGGTTGTACGGGAGCGAGTCGGACTCCTCAAGGCCTGCTGCCAATCAAACTTCGGGTAGGGAGTCACAGATACTGTCCCACTAGCTAGGGCTCCCACCCCATTAGAAGCGTGAGAGCTGGAGTGACGCTAGCAGCCGGGCTGTACCGCGGAGGAACATGGGCAGGTCAAGATAGCAAAGAGGATTACGGTGTTGGTCACTTTGTTTCAGAGTCAGTGGGAAGTAATTTCTGCCTAGTTCGTAACAGGAGCGAGTGTAGCTAGCGTGAAGCTCAGAATCGGAGAGGACCAAGAACCGGTGGGCACTGAGGATGCACCGGGTTTGTTCTAGAAATGAATCTGAGTGCCAGGTGAACCGTGGCCCAGACCAAGCTGGCAGGACTCACTGCCAGCCCCGCTGCAGAGGCGGCATGGGAGGATGACGCAGGGATGCAGATCTCAGAGCTACAGCGTGCAGAGACAGAAGAAGGGGTGACCACAGTACAGGACAGGGGAGGGGGGTTGTCCGTATAGACTTGGTGCGAGAGGAGACGACTGTATAAGAAAAGGGGCTGATGGACAGAGCAGAAGTGAGGAGTGGAGACACAGCAAGTTCTCCTGATGGATCACTGTAGCAGTCAGGGCTGTGGAGTGAGCATTTGCTCTGCAGGGAACAGGGCAGCACACGACCGCCCAGAAAAGAAAGCTCAAGAGGTGAGGCAGGGGCTAGCGAAGACCAGAGGTGGCCGGAATGAGCCCACTCATTACAGGGAGCGGCGGACTGGGAAGAGCACTGCAGAGAACTGTGCCAAAATGCCAAGAGCTGCAGCTGGAGATTGAGCCAAGTGAATGGAGAACTGCAGCAGCGCGCGCAGGGGAACAAGGTGGTGGGAGGAGGCGGCATGTGGGTCAGTGCCAGCAATGGCCTCTCTGTGGGAAGGGCACGAGACAATCATCTGGGCCAGGCATTAGTCTTATATTAGTTAGCTAGGGCACACTGTGAAGACGGGACCCAGGGCAGCAAGTGGGCTGAGCACCAGGGAGACCGTGTAGGGCACCCACACCGGAAGGGAGAGCCATTCAAGGTGGAATAAGGGACACTATGAAACAGAGGAAGATCTCTAGCTCTCAGCTTCTTCTGAGGCCTCTCTCCCTCCCCTCCTTGCTACTGCCTCTCTCTCTGCTGACTTGAGGGCTCAGTGCGCTTGGGGAGGGATCGGGCCGGGGGGAGGCACAGCTGTGCAGCAGGCGTTCACCCCCTCAAGTCCGTGATCCCCGCTCTGCCCCTCACGAGGGCTGCATGATCCCAGGCCCCCCCAGCTCTCATCGGACACAGCACGGTGTGCCTGGAGAATGGAGCTCTCTGTCACATCATGGCTGCAGTGCAGGCTCTGAGGCGGTTCACTACTAGAGATACCAGGCTCCCGGCTGCCCAGATACCGTGTGTATCCGGGCTGTTAGCGTCCATCTCCGGGGGGTGGGACTTCACGCGGATCAGCGGTTTCCATCTCAATTCACCCTTGACTGGAAGGGCGGCCCCAGGCAACGTGGTCCCCAAGACTCTGGCAGCTGTTTCTGGGAACTCCAAGGACGGGCACATTCCCAGGAGCGGAAAGCGGCAAACAGCCTCTGCTCTGAGGGAGGTGCAGGGAAAGAGACCAATCAACGCTAGTGCCTGCTTAACGGCTGGAGGAGTCGGTGCGGAGCACCCAGAGGAAAGGGACAAAGAGGCAAGATGCCTTTGTCAGAAACAAACCAGGCCACAAAGGAGCCTGGTTCCTTCCCTGGGCAGGCGAAGACGCTGATTGGACAGACAGGGATGGCGCCGCTGGAGAGCCCAACACACATGGCGCATTTCACGCCATTTTGGAAAGGATCCGCTTGCCCCGCTCCACACCATGTGCTGACAGCTGCTGCTGGGAAGCCTGTTGCTAGGCAACTCTGGGCCCTCCGGCACTGGGCAGCGTTAAGCCAGGGGCGTATTCACTCGGCAGCAGACCCCATCTCGCCCCGACAAGGCCCTGCTCTGGGCCAGGCTGTGAAACGGGGAGCGATCTCGTTCCAAAGCTGGGCCCCGGGTCAGGTCCGTCCCCCCCCCCCCAACGTCGGCGGTGGTCGCAGTTGCAGAGCCCAGCCTCAGAGCGCAAATGGGCTTTTGAAGGAGTTTAAAAAAAAAGCAAAGCAAAATTAAATGGACGTTCGTTTCATGCCACACGGCATAGCCGGACTCAAGTCAGCTGCCTGAGGCAGGGCAGATGGCGGTGGACCAGAGAAAGGAAGTGGAACCAGGACAAAAACGGAACAGAACTACCTGTCCCGCCCCTCACACCCTCCCAAGGAGCAATCCAGGACTCCCCCTGAGCTGAGACCTAACCTACGCAATATTTCCATCAGTGAGCGGGAGGGTTAAGAGGCAAGGTCTCTAATGAAAGTCAGCTGACGGCGGTAAGGATCCCAAACGCTCAGAAGGACTGAATTAAAATATAGCCTGAGCTTGATAGAGTGAAGGAAAGGGCTAAAAAACACAACCTGGAACGAAGTGCCACGCAACAGAAGTCAGACAAAGCAGAACAGGCCACAATCCCGGAGCTACAGCGGGTCCCGCCGTGGAAGAACTGACGCTATGGAACTGCCTCGTTGAGCTGTAGGACAGAACGTCCCACACAAGAGGAGGGAGGGGATCATCCAGCCCAACAGGGTGGACCGAGGGCGCTATTCAACCTCGCATTCAGTTCTGGACAAACTGGGGAGAGTTCAGAGCACAGCGACACGTGATTAAGGTTTGAGGAGTGCCAGGGTGATGCCCCCGCATTATTCAGGCCGGACAAGATGATCCTGGCCCCTTCGGGCCTGGATCTCCAGGAAGCTAGGATCTGAGGAAGACCTGAGAGAAAAGGCAGGAGATTCAGACTGGTGGGAGGAGAACCATCCACATCAAGGGATGTCAGAGAGGAGCAAGCCCAGTCATACTCACTAGGCTCCACAGACCCACCGGGCAGAAATGGGCTTGAACTGCAGCAAGGAAAACCCAGGTTTCCATCAAACTGTTGGCACACAGCGCGTGTTGATGCCAGCCCTGGAGCTTTCGAAGACTATGGGGGACACTCCTCTCCCAAGGATGGTGCAGGGATCGTCAAGTCAGTGGCGCCACAGTGCAGAGAGGCAACTAATGGAGAGGCCAAGGTTATGATGCGACAGACATCCCCACCCGAGAATGAACATCCGCCCAGGCACTCCCAGCAAGAGGCATGGACCAGCAGCCAGCGGTACCCGACCCTGGTCAAAATGAGCTTTGGGTTCTCCAAGTTCTGCCTGCTAGGAGAGCAGAGTGGAAGGGTATAGAGACAGGACTCCCTGTGAAGGGCAGGGAAAACCCGTGAAGAGCCATCCAACTCCAAGCCTTCTATGATGTTTGGGCAGAAGTAGCTAGCTCCGGCTCAGCCTGCCGGGGAGCTCTCGGGGAAGGGCGTTTGCCTTGAACGGCTTCATCTCCCGCTGTTTGAAGTCACCGTGTTTCTCTAGCAGCCATCTTGGCAGCTGTCCCACATGGGAGGTGGCCAGGCTAGGCAGATTTCAATTTGTATTTGGTCGTCACTTCGACTGATAATATCCAGGTTTCTTTTGAAACTTTTTTCCAACTTATCAATTTAAGTTTTCACAGCTGGGGGGAGAGAGAGAGAGAGAGAGAGAGAGAGAGAGAGAGTGTGTGTGTGTGTGTGTGTACACATCACATCTCAAAATACAGGGCATAAATACCCTTAAATCGAACTCCAATGAGTTCTCAAGCAGCATTTTCCTATTGCCTATCTGTAAATTGCCATTTACATGGAAATATCTCTCTCTCTGGTCTGCGTCTGTGCGGTGAAATTGATGTTCACTGCCGATAAACATCTAATCCTTCCAAGCCTAGAGGTGGCTGAGGATCAGGCATGAATTTTATAGCTGAGTCACGGGCGTAGCTAGTTGCTGCACTCCACCCGAGTTGTCCCCTCCTTACGCTGGGCTAAGTAGTCCCAAGGGAATGCTGGGATGCTGGAGGACTGAAGTTCTCCAGCGAAGAGTAAAGGTGGGTGGAAGATGGTCTCTAACAGCTCTCTCCCTGGGAGAGCCCAGGGGATTTGTCAGTCTAGAAGGGCTATCAGCAAGAGTGGCCAATAGACAGGATAGAACGGGGCCTGGCTCAGCAGCCAGGAAAGTCAGACAAGCCCAGCCAGCCTGGGCGGTTTCTCCAAATTTGGGGTTGGGCCCAGGCAGAGCTCCTGGCACCGGCAACAGAGGCTCTGCTCCCAGCCCGCTGGCTGCACCCGCTCGGCTGGTCGCGCCTGGCTTGGGCTCTAGGTTTGTTTTGCACAGTTCGATTCAGGCTGAGAGGGTTAGAAACCAGCACCATATAGTGCCCTACGTGTAGCTCTTCGTGGCCAAGCCTGTGTGACCCTTAAGCCCAAGCCCCACTTCCTGCTAGCCCTCACTCCCTATGCGGCCAGGGGACAGTACCCTTCTCCTTGCCCTTAGAACTCCTATAGGGCAAGGCTCCCTAGTAAGCATTGCGGGGAGGAAGGGCTGGGGGGAAGCTGGTGGGTTTGTGGACACAGCTGAGGAAGTGGCTAAGACCCTGTATGACCATCATGGCATCAGGTGGCAGGACAGCAACGCCTGATTGGCAGGGAAGGTGGTGATACTAGTGAAGCCAGCCCTTCTGCCAGCTCCCTGTGATATTTACAGCCAGGGGGCCGGAGCACAGGGCTGGGGGCAGGGAAGGACCGTGCCCCGTGCTCCAGGAGGGGGAGAGCACTACACCTGTACAAAGGAAGGAATGGGCTTGTGCTCCGTGTCTCTTGGGTTCTGTACAGCGGCAGAGACTAAGCGAGCGAAGGAAACTCAAGTAAAATTCTTATTGCCTTTATTCTGCCCGTGCCCTCACCCAGCCGGCCAGCACACACGCACACACATGCACGCACACACGCTCGCGCTGGGACTCTCCCGCTCGCTCGGGAAGAGCCGAGCGGCCGGGAAGAGTCAAAGAAGCAGAAGTGAGAGTCTTTTGGCAGCAATCACAGCGGGTGTCAGGAGAGGCTCTGCAGAGATGGTCGCGCTCTGACAAGACCCGCTCCTTCTGCATAAAACATGAGACTGGGGAGAAGCCAGGCTCTTCAGTCAGCTCGGCCTGGCCTCCCCGACGCCTCTCCGAACTCTGGCTGAGCAGGAGCAAGGCTGCCTTTGCTCCCCTGGTCCCTGTGCAAACTTGCGCTGATGGCCTTTCTCCGCAGTCCAGATTCGGCCATAAAACAAAGAGGGACGAGAGATCTGGAGTTGGTATGTCCAACTCCCTGCATAGTAATCTCACTGGGTTCAGATTCTGGCATCCAGAGCCAAACGGACTGATACCCTCCCTTCCGACACATTCCAGTGCAGATCCCTGTATGGGGGCAGCAGGGGGACATGATTGTCTGGGGCTGCACAGGAGAAGGCCAGGCTGGACCCCGCTCCATGCCCTTCACGGTCGTGCAGCTGCTGTGTATGCTTGTATCCCCACAACCCCCTCTCCCTCGCTAGGCCAAGAGCTTGGGAAAGCGCCCGCAGCATCTCCAAAAGGCGCGTAGCAGGAGGAGAACGTTTGCGACTTCGGGGTTAAGGAAATCCAAGAAGTGGAACAACTCCTGAACCCACGGCGCTGCGAGCAGCGGAGATGGGGCAGGAAGAGGGGGTGAAGTCTTCATCCGATAATCTGTCTTCAATATGAAGACTGCATCGCCGGCTCCGTTCCAAACACAAACACAAGGCTGGTCTCCTTCTCGGCCCAAGTGCCTTGGATTCAGGGAGGCGAGTCCCATCCCGTGTGACTGTCAGAGGCCGAGAAGCTCCACGCAAAGGGGAAAACAGGAAGCCGGGCTGCACCGCAAACTAGAATCTTATCGACAGATTCCCTCAGTCCATTCCAGTCCCAAAATTTCCTGTGGTCAAACCTGAACTGGGAGTGTCTGGTTCATTTGCAGCCTCATGTCCTGAATACTGCTCAGGATCTTCTTTTGATGTCCTGCGAGCGTCACCCCTATCCTGAGCAGGTCTCTGAAAGGACAAGAGGAGGCAGAGCTCGTAACAAGTCTACACACTCCTTGGAGAACCCTGTGCAGGGGCATTTCCGCTGCAGCATTAACCACTGGCTGATGGAGCAGACAGATATTCCCCAGCTGTGGTTAGAGGGGCCCAGAACTCGGCAGCAGAAATCCTTTAATGCCTCTTGGCCTCCTGGCCAGACACAACAACAATCTAGTCAGGGCCTGCCCCCGCCCCTGGCTTCGTATGAATCCCCTCCACCCCCAGCCATGCACTTATCTGCGTCTACTTCTCATGGCCACTTGGGGTACATCTCCACTGCAACGAGTCTCAGAGTCTAGGTCGATTGACTCCGGCTCGTGGGGCTCAAACAAGCTACGTACACGTTTGGTCTAGGGCCGGAGTGTGGGCTCTGAGACCTGGCTTAAGAAGCAACTTAATTCTGAGAGCAGAGGTGCTGGACACTGATCACAGAGCTTTCCCAGCCCAAAAGGGAAAACTCGGGCACATGTCATTGTTCTTGGGCAGGAGGTGTCTGCCATCAGAGCTGCTGAGTGCTCTTCCTCCCAGGCCCAGCTCCCAGCCCCACTCACTCTGCTGTCATCTGCGCCACCAGGTCGAAGGATGCAAATCCAGCGTTGACAAAGCTCTCCTTGTACCGTCCCATTTTGATGGCGTCGAGCCAGTCGCCCACGGTGGTGAAGGTGGTGTAATCCGGCACGGTGCGGTCCAGGAGTGGCTGGGACACGCTGCGGCGGGGACAAGAGCGAGCCCAGAGTTAATGCGGGGGGGAACACAGGGTGCTGTTGGGCTGGGGTAGGTACAGGCATCTGCCCGGCACTGGTGGATCATGGGGTTCCCCCCTGTGCTGTCTCCACCTGGATCCCTGCCTCCAGCCCTCTAGGTTCTAGCTCAGCCAATGCAAAGCAGATTCCCCAGCATTCCCTGCACTGCAAAGGGACGAGAGGCCTGGCGGGGTCGGTACCGGAGCGGGGAGGGGAGGGCACTGACCCGGACTGGACGGTGGCGATGACCTTCAGGCTGGCTGCGTTCCGGATGAGCTTGTCCAGCGTATTCACTATCTGTGCAAACTTGGGCCGAAGGTTGCGGTCACGCACCCAGCAGTCCAGCATGAGCTGGTGCAGCGCCGTGGGGCAGTCCATGGGCGGCGGCAGGCGGTAATCCTGCTCCACCGCGTTAATCACCTGCCAAGACACACAGGCACACAGGCGCTCAGAGCGGCCGTGAGTCAGCCAGGCGGCCAGGCCCCCTGGCGCCGCCACAGCCCGGCTCCCGCCCGTGGTCGCACTTACGTCCTGGTTGGACATGTCCCAGTAGGGCCGCTCCCCATAGGACATCACCTCCCACATGACGATCCCGTAACTCCACACGTCGCTGGCCGAGGTGAACTTGCGGTAGGCTATGGCTTCCGGAGCCGTCCACCGGATCGGGATCTTACCACCCTGTGGGGAGAGACGCTTAATTCCATTATTTAGTGCCTACCTCAGGGCTCCCCCGCGGCCCCTGCCCTCCGCAGCAAGGCAGAGGGTGCCGACGAGAATCTCACATACCAGCGAGCTGGTGTAGGTGGGGTCCGCGGGGTCGTCCTCCAAGAAGCGCGAGAGCCCGAAGTCCGACACCTTGCACACCAGGTTGCTGTTGACGAGGATGTTGCGGGCGGCCAGGTCCCGGTGCACGTAGTTCATCTCCGCCAGGTACTTCATGCCCGCCGCGATGCCACGCAGCATCCCCACCAGCTGGATCACCGTGAACTGCCCGTCATTCAGCTGCCGGCAGACAGAGGGGAGCGATCAGCGGGGTCTCGAAGGTGAGCCCTTCGTTCTCTCCTTTCACAGGGGGCTTGGGGAGGGGTTCTGCTCTCCCCATGGAATGGGCCTCCCCCTGGAATGAACCTCTAACACCCCCACTGCAGGAAAGGGAAGTGTGTGTGTGTGTGGAACCCTAACACACTATTACTCTCCTCAGTAAGGTGTCACCCACCTCCCCCCCACCATGCTCCTCCAATAGGGCCCCTTCTCCCCATCTCAACACACGAAGCCTGGGGGCGTCAGTGTGAAACGCAGGGAAGCAAATGCAAGTTCGAGCCGAACGTGGCAGGAGCGGAGAGTGCAGAGCAGAGGGCTGCCCAGCCGGAGAGAGAGAGAGGAAGGGGAGCGATTCCATCCCAGCCTCCTGTCCTCCCACATCCCTGTGGCACAGCCTGCCCCACAGCGCAGCAGGCCTGGCCCGAGACGGCGCCTCACCCGGAGGAAGGAGTCCAGGGCGCAGTTCTCCATGAACTCCGTGACTATCATGACCGGCCGGCTCTTGGTCACCACGCCCTCCAGGTGGATGATGTTGGGATGGTCAAATTGCCCCATGATGCTGGCCTCGCTCAGGAAGTCCCGCCGCTGCCTCTCCGTGTAACCCACTTTCAGGGTCTTGATGGCCACAAAGATCTCCCGACGGCCCGGCAACTTCAGGCGGCCCCGGCAGACCTCCCCGAACTCCCCTGCAGGGGAAGAACAGCAGAGGGGTTACAGACAGAGAGAAGCCACTGGCAGCCCCGCCACATGAGCCGCATCTGGTCAGGTGACTTGCCTGCTCCAATCACCTCCTCGATCTTGACGCAGGAGATGTCGATCTCTTTGGCAAACTCCCGGACCGCCTCATTGGGGTCCTCGTAGGTGAAGGGGTCGATGTAAACCTTCATTCCGGGAGTGACTGCGAGAGCAGAGCAAGTCAGGCCCAGTGTGAGGGCACAGTACCAGCAAAACCCCTCACCCCGACCTACAGCATTATAGGACGTCCCGGGGCCCAGGCCAGGAACCCCAGCACCAGATACAAAGCCCCGACAACAAAGGAAATCATCCCCGTCTCACTGCCCTGCACACACCTGGGGGTGCGAGGGCCGGGTCACACTCCCATACTGTTGCAGCATGCATTAGGGCCTGGGGTCATACTCACCGTACTGCTGCAGCTTCTCCGTGTACTCCGAGTCCGTACTGCTCCGCTGCTTCCTACCCAAAGGAGACAAGAGCCATTTCAGGACAGTCCATGCCTGCTGGGTGCCGAGGGGGCCACAGGTAAGTCCGCAAGCCACCAGCAGAGCAGATGCACCGCTCCGGCACTACACAGTGCCAAGGTCAGCACCTTTCCCCTCCTTCTCCCTGTACCATCACCCTCAGCCTAGAAGCAGGACATGGGCATGAACTGCTGGAGGGGACGTTTGGCTCTGGGCTCGGCTGCCCTGATTCACACTGGCTCAGAGGCCTTGCAAGGTTTGCAGCGGGCAGGGCGAGATCTCACAGGTGCACAGGGCGTGTCATGAAGCCGGCTCCACCTGAAGGCCCAATGCGGGCTGCGGTGGTAGAGGTAGGTTGAAAGCTGGCTCAGGTTGGGGGCGGGTTGCTAGTTGCGTCAAACCTAGTTTGCATCTGATGGCCTCTAACTGAAGAACAAAGCCGTGGGGAGGAACACTCACTGCCACGCTCCATTGGCGCAGATAGGCTGCCCAGGGAGGCCAGGTGAGAGCAATGAGGTTTGGAAGGGGCACCTTGCTCGGCTGATGTTCCCCGACAGGACATCCTCCCCTGCCGGCTTAACACCCCTCTAGCACCACATGCAGAGGACAATGGAGCCGGACGGGCCTGGAACGATGGTTATTTTAGTGCAGCGGGAACTGCTCTGCTAGAACCCCCACGCGGACACTACGCTCCGGGAGCACACTGCTCTGCCCAGCCACAGGGGTAGAGCAGTCCCGGGTCTGGAAGGCCCCAGCCCCCTCACTCCAGAACCCGGCACGCAGATGGGTATTTGCCTTAGAACACAGGAGGGGAAACGCCAAACACTGCAGCGGGGACGAGGCCCCGTGGGACTCCTAGCCTGGGGCTCGCACCCTTTCCTCCGTCTCCCCCCGAGCTGGTACCTGAAGCAGACAATAGCAATCACCACCACAGCGATGACAAAGACCAGGCCTGCGGTGGCCGAACCCACGATCAAGGGCAACTCCTGGAAGCTCTTCCCGCTGGAGCCTGTGGGAGACACGGGAGGCCGATCAGAACGAGGGGCTGAGCCGGGGCGTGGGATGGGAGAGGGAAGGGGGCCCAGTCCCAGCGCATACCGTCTTCTGCAGGTGTCTGGAACTCCACGGGGAGGCTGTACTGGCCATAGCCAGCCACAGTGCGGGCCCGAACCTGCACTACGTACAGGGAGTTGGCCGTCAGCCCATCCAGCCGCACCGTGTTCTGCTGGCTGGTGACGGTGTTCGCGATGCCGTCACCCTGGCCCTGCTGTGGGGCAGGAAGATCGGGGTCACTTACAGCGGTTATCACAATCCCAAGCGCCATCCTACCCCCTGCACCGGGGCGACCTCTAACACCCGTGCGTGTCCAGCAGGCAGCATGGCTGGGGAGCGGTGGCCTGGGCTCTGCTTTACCTTCTCAAAGTACTTGATTTCATAGTCCAGGATGATCCCGTTGGGTCTCTCCGGGGGCGTCCATGACAGCATCAGGCTGCTGCCAGTAGTGCCGTGCAGCTGAATTCTGGGAACGGCCGAGGGGGCTGCAAAACAGAGGGAAGGGATGGGTCAGGTTAAGCCGCAGCATTCGCAGCCCCGTGCCGGGGGAAAACATGTCGTCAGTCACTTAATTCATCCCCTGGAACCCCCCCACCCCCTACAACGTCCCCCAACCCACATCTGTCTTGTAAGGCTGAGGCCAAACCAATGGGACAAAGATCCCACCAATTGCTGATGAGACTACGATCCCCTCCTCCTTCCTGCCTGTGACTCCATCACACTCCTCCTGCTCTCCATGGTCCCCTCCTCCGCCTCAGGGATGATGCCCATGAATTCTGCTCAGTGAGTGGCAGCAGTAGGTTTCCAGCGCATTGGAGCAGAGCCCGATGCAGGGGAAGGTGGAGAGGGAAAGCAGAGAGCGCACAGCATGCTCTGACGGTTTGGGAGGGTCCTGACCTTAGCCAGGCCCACAAGGGAGAAAGCCCATCTGCCCCTGCAAGCCGGGAGTCTCTGAAGCCAGGATTAGAGAACCACTAGCTCAGCCCCCATCTTTGTTTGCAGGAGTTCTGATCTCATTCCCTCCAGGGACATTGATTTAAAAAGAGAGAAATAGTCACCCAGGGGATTAGATGCAGGAGCTTAGAGCCAGCAACGCTGCACAAAGGGAGCGAACAAAGGACAGTGGCCTCAGAGAGACTTTCAGCAGGAAACCCTGCTCTGGTTACTTGGGATATTAGAGGAGCAGAGCAGAGATGCACCCTCTCCCCAGGCAGCAGCGGCTTCAGCCTGCAGCTGTCTGTACTGACCTGCCTGGTTGGTGGTGATGTTGACAGAGGCGAACTGGGGGGAGTGGGGGCTCTTGCTGGACACGCCGTTCACAGCCTGAATCTCGAAGGTGTACTGGGTGTGCGCCATCAGGTTGCTGATGTAGATGTGCCGGTCCGTCAGGCCGAGCTGGCGGGGCACGAACTCCACGTTGTCGTCGCAGCGCGTGCACACCCGGCGCTCCACGGTGCACTTCTTGCAGATGATGTTGTACAGCAGGTCGTCCCGGCCCCCCGAGTCCCGGGGTTCGCTCCACTCCAGCGCCAGCGACGTCTCGTTCACGTTGGAGATGACGTTGAGAGGAGAGGATGGGACGCCTGCGGATGAGACACTCACGTCAGAGTGGAGAGCGCCAAGAGAAGCCCCCAAGCCCAGCCCACACCCGGGTTTGTGGGGAGGTGGCCCAATGGACCCGCAGCCCTCAGGACTGGATTCACTGCCTCTCAGTCTGGCTGTTTGTCCTTTCCAGCGAGACGGTTATCCAGGACACCCCACTCCCCCAACAGAGGAGAACTCAAACCAGCGGCGCGCACTGCTGCAGACTGGGACCCCGATCCCGTCCCCCACTGTCAGGGTCTGAGTGACTGGGAGATCCAAGACATCCACTAGACGGGGACAGACTTACTGGTGCAAGCACTGTCTGCAGAGTCTGCGTCTGCCCGGAAGTAGCCGATCCGACAGGTGCAGAGCATCGCTGCCCCAGAGCTTGTCCGGCTGTTGGGGGGGCAGGGTGAGCAGAGACCTTCCCCTTGCTTCGACTTGAAGGTCCCGGGACCACAGGCTGCACGGAGGGGAGAGAAGGGAAAAATAAACTTGGTTACTAACGCTCCCGGACAGACACTCCGCCTGGGTCATTAGCTGGGAAGGCGCCCAGAACTTTCCTCGTCAGCCCTCTAACTCCTGATGTCCACTGCAGAAACCAATCCAAGCCCTAATACGGAGTTACCAACAGATCCCTCTCCAACACCGCCCACCCTCTTGGTGACCCCAGCCCAACCCTGGTGACTCTGCCCGTTGCTGCGCTCTGGGCCTGGGGATTCAAAGCAGAGTCTTCTAATCCAGCGCTCAGCATGGCCAGCTCTCCAGGAACTGGTTTGTGATGGGAAACATGCCAAGAGCACCTGAGCTGGATGCAAGGGGCTTGCTGGCTGGGGCAGCCCAGCTCAGCTGAATCTTTCTGGGCTTAGAGTAGCACCCTGGGCTGAAGATGCCTCCAAGCATGGACAGAGAGCACCTTCCTACAAACATGGACACCTAAGGAAGAAGATCACCTAACCAGGCGTTACTGGCCTTCCAGGGAAGTGGAGTAAATCTCAACCAGACAGAGCCCCCAAGAGGGGTACAGGGGAACAATCCTACCTAGGAAGTCAAAGATGGCAGAGACATCTAGGGTGCCCTCTAGTCCATCTCCTGGGTCAGAGTAGGACTGGCCCTAGAGCATGTCTGCCATTGCTTTCTCCTGTCCCAAGCCAGGTCCCTTAGGAATCCATGTTGCAGATGGATATATCTCACCGACTGTCAGCCCAAGCTTCCCCCTCAGTGTCTTCCCATTAGCCCTAGTTCTAGCCCCTTGTACGGAGCTGAACAGCCTCCCCCTCCTGGGCACTTAGCCCCTTCAAACACACAGGCATTCGGTGGCGCTCTGCCCAGCTGTGTTTTCAATCTTGCTGGTTTTCCTCACTGCTCCATATTTGACATGCTGGTCACCCCTCTTCCAGAGGGGCCGAGCTGTTCAGACAGGACTCTGCATCGACTCCAGTGGCCCCTCCCAGCCCTGCCAGTTTTCAGTCCCCCCCCCGACAGTGTCATTCCCCAGCCAGTTTAAAGTCGTTTGTCAAGTAAGGATAAGCCGTTCTACTAGCTGCTTTGCTAAACAGCTGCCTCTCACGTCTGAAAACCCTCCTGATTCTCATCACAGCCCCTCGCTGAGCAAAAGGCCTGGAGCCCAGGCCTGGTTTGAACAATGGAGCGTTTAACTCTAAAGGGCTCTGTGAAAAGACTAACAGCACTTGAACCCGAAGGAGCCCAGCGGCAGAGACGTGCCATGAAACTAACCCAGGTCTCGAGCCATCTCATTCACCCCTGCGGTACCACTGATCCTGTCCCACGAGAAGGCAGGTCTCTCTCCAGGACCCTTCCTGAGCTACCAAGTACCAAAGGCACAAACGAGGCCACAAAATAAGTTAAACCTCAGCCCACTGAAATGCTGGAAATTCATAGTTACAGCCAAAAATGTCTGCAGACAGCCCCCTGCTGTGCACTGGCATTGCAGCTCATGTAGCATGTCAGTCACCCATCACTGAGCCACAACTGTGTCCCTCAATAGTCATGGGCTTCCTCTCCCCTCCTGCCCTTCTCTAACCAGAGACCCTCCCCACTCCACAGAAGGCACGCTCAGGACATACCTCCCTCCCCACCCACCCCGAGGTGTCAAACGGCCTTCAGGTATCACTGGTCCTCTCCAGCCGCTCCAGCTCAGCAGAGGAGCCTCCTGCTCTAGGCCTGCTACAGCTCATCACCCACAAGATGAGACGACTGAACCGCTCCGTCTCTGGGGAGGCAAAAGCAGTTTCCGTTTACGAGGCATTTCCTAACACCCACAGCGATAAGTTTAACAGCTGGGAACTGCAGCCTTGCACACAGGGTGTGGGGCATTTCGTAATCACACAATGGCTTGTTTTTATACACTTGCCCGTCCAATCCTCCAGATTTCCTACAGACACTAATTTCTTTCAGCAGCCATCAGCACAAAGCAGACACCTGGGAACTAATGCCAACTTATTTCCTAATTTCACGCCATATTGCACCTTCCGAAGAAAGATGGCCCAGCATCACCACCATTGGTCCTTGATGTTGTAGTAGGGTCTCATGAGCGCAGAGATTCAGATCCAGAGCCACTGTCTCCCTCTTTTGTTCTTCAATTCACCCCACTTTGTGCCTCACAAATGCTGCAGTGTCTTGTAGACCTTCAGGTCCAACCATCACAGGCTCGCAGATAAAATGGAGTTTTCCACGGAGAACTACCTACACCAACCAATACTCCACATGGCGTCAGGGGTTGCACCCCTACCCGTACCATTCCACACCAGGGACAGTAAGGACAACCCCAGCTTCACCTACGGCAACTGTGGCCCTTGCAAGTCAGTGCATGTGTAGCCACAATGCACTGAAATGGACATGAATGTTCCCTTCCCTTTGTTAGGCTCTGAAATAAACTAACGGAACAGAAGTGTTTGTTGTATTGTTTTTCAATTGCATATTGGGTCGTCCCCCCCCAACTATTTTCAGTATCCAATAAAAACATCTATTTTTGGTAAACAATTCATCTTTGTTACTTCACAATATATGCTGCCGAATGCCAAGCGCTACTGAAAGTGCCCACTACTTGTTATTGTACAAGACGACAGAACTCACAGGATCAGGGCCTAACAACGGTAATAATTGTAAATATACAGCAAGCACCACAAGACTAAGAGGTAAGTTAACAGCCAGTGTGATATTTACAGATGCACATCAAGCACCACCCAATTCCTAACAGCCCCCAAAGCTCCAGGGCCAGGTACAGCACAGTCCATCACATCCCATTACTGCGGCTGACTGTTAAAATGCTCTTTCAAGGCCTCCCTCAACCACATAGCTCCTTATTGAGCTCTTCCAATAGCCCTTGTGCCTGGCTGTTCCCACTCAGCACACAGCTGCTCCATCTCCACCCCAGAGCCAACTTTTCTCCCTTTGCTTCCCAGATATTACGCAGGACACAGCAGGCAGCTATAACCATAGGGATATTTTTCTCAATGAGGTCCAATCTTGTGAGTAAACAGCACCCAC